GAGTACAGTAACGAAGTATTTGTACTTCGTTACTTCCCATCCCTGCTTAAAGGTAGTAAGTAATCAAAAGGTGCATAAAAAATGTATGGTTGACTCACAAGGTAAAGCTGCTAATGGCTGCATTTTCCAAACTCTCGGTCAGTAATATGTCATTTTCGTGTCGTTTAATCAATTCTATGCATATTTTCTTTTTTGTTTTCCAAACAGCCTATTTTTTTACTGCAGGATGAAGAAGCTGATTCTCGACGTTGACATCGGAGTTGATGATGCTCAGGCCCTCATGATTGCCGTCACTGCTCCAGATGTAGAGATTCTGGGGATCACCTGCTGCCACGGCAACACTTCTTTGGACAATGTCCTTAAGAACACCCTGCGTGTCCTGCAAGTCTGCAACCGTCTGGATGTAAGTCAGTTTGCTTGTGTGGTTTATTCACAATACTGGATATTTTGCTTACAGACGTTCTGTTTCACAGATTCCAGTCTATAAGGGTTTCTCAAGGCCTCTGCTGGCCAGCAAACAGCATGCGTCTGATTACCACGGGAAAGATGGACTGGGGGATGTTCCAGATCCAGATGCTCCCGGTCTGGATCTGCTGCAGAAGAAGAAAGCTGCACAGGCGATGATTAAAATTGCAAGGGAAAACCCTGGAGAGGTAAGAAACAATGTTTCTAAAAGACAAACAATTATATGCCCGCTATGAAGGAAGGAAAATAATATTCTGAATAAGACAAAGCTCTGACAACTTGATTAAATTATCTTATAAAAACATTTTTTTGAGTCTAAACTTTTCCATCTCCTCAAAAATCTTTGACATAAACAACTAGATTTTTAATGTAGAAATGTAAAGTGAGACGTGTTACAAGCCACACAAACATAGGTACAATAATTCAAAAACATAGCTACAATAATTCAACAACATTGAAACCCCTCAGAGGAATAAGCAAATACAGTTATTGCTAAGAAAAAAAAAAGCTGGCTGTTGGAAGAGCGCTTTATAAATGTAACAGGAAAATTAGGTGGAAGGAAAACAGAGATAGGAGCATGAACCTTGAGATAAATATGAAGCAAAGACTATTCAATTATTGTCAGTTTTAAGTAAAATTCATGATTTTTCATGACAGTAAAATCCTTTTTGGTCAACAAAAGGAGCAGAAGACATCTCAAATTTGAATCACTCTGTAATGCAATTGGAGCTGAAATAGAAAAACATTTCTATAACATTCTGAGTCATACAGCTGTCATTTTCCAAAAAAAAGGCATTTTTATTCAAAACGGATATTATTCGCTGCTAAATAAATAAATGTAAATCAATCACAGAGAAAGGGTTTTCTGTTTAGCGGGAAGGCAGCAAGATTTACAGTTGGCAGAGTTAATTAGCAGTAGCGCTGACACGAAGCTGCTTTAAATAGGAGAACTGAAAATTATGCTTTCTTCCTCATTATTGACCCAATCATAGAACAAAATCTATCTTAGATCTCATCTTTATGACTTACTGTTAATAATTGCAAGAAAGCTTATTTTTTTAAAGCAAAAGCTCAGCTTATAAAATCTACTCATACAAGCATATTTATAATAAATGAGGTGTATTACTCTGGTTAGGGCTGGGCGATATGGAAAAAATACTATATCACGATATGGATTATTTTATATCACGATAACGATATATATCACGATATACCACAACTGATGTTGCATTTTATGTTTTCATAGTCCGTCAGATGGACAAGGTTTGAAAAAAATCTTTCATCGCCTATTTTTTACCCATCATCTTGTTTCCTAATATGAGAATCCCAACCCCAAACCAAGAACACCAGTTATGCAATTTGCGGCCATGACAGTGAACAGTATAGAATCTTGGCTATTGCGCTGCAGTAATTAATCATTTAATATTCATTTGTTATTGACATTTTATAAAATTCCAAGGCCAGTTTTTTCTCTTGTCTTTCACTTACCTTGTTTTCCACTAGGAGGCGCCTCGCCTATTTAAGAAGAAATGTGTCTGCACTGGTAATACATTAATTAAAATGCCCACATGTTCTACTGGATAGGAGTGTCAGTGTAGTTAAAAATGTGATCCATCATACGACCTGTACCACAATTATGCGTGTTTCAGTTGTTCTCTTTATTTTTCAGCAGTCACAAGAGAAACGTGCTGCACACTTTAAAAACATGGAACACAACAGTACTATACAACAAACTATAACAAACAGTACACACTAATACACACAGTATGATTTACTCTGAAGGGGAAAAAGTGAATGCTACAGCACCTTTGTGTGTAAACACAACACTCACAGGTGCAGTAGCCTTCACTTTTCCCCCCTTCAGAATAAATTATAATATCAGTGAGGTCCAGTAATGGATGCGTATGCTGTAAAAGCACACAGTTCATTGGTGTAAGCATATTAGTAAAACCAATAATAGTAAAACTAGCGAACGTACAAAAGTGCATAGCAATGTCAGGCTCATACCTTGGGCGAGCATCACTCCGGTGTGGTCCTCAGGAAAGTACACGGTCTGTAGACACCGAGCGCGGAGGGTCCAGTCCGTGATAAGGATGGTGAGACTCATATAAGGCTGTGTTGCTCTACTCATCCACATGTCCGTAGTCAACGCATAATGCGTCGCACCACTGCGTACCTCTCTCTCCACTTCAGCCCGACAACTAGCATATAAGCCAGGCAGCTCCGCTTTAACGGTAAAATCTTCTTGGGTGTCCATCATTCATTTTTTTTCAAGCCAGAAAGAAATTTCACGGGCTCTCTCCATCAGTAATGTCGCAAACGTATGGTGCAAAGCCGCGTGACGTAAAGCGGTGTAGTGTCGCAAAACCACGTTCTCTACACATTATCTTTTTATTCTCTTTTTTTTTTTCGTTATATACACTTAGAGTTTGCATAGCAAAAACGCAAAATGTTATATTAACAGATTATATTAAAATGTATATTAGCAGTAATAATAATAATAAAGAAGTTTATCACGATAGAAAAAATAGAGGAGAAAGGTCACGATAGACATGTTTCTCTCGTCCTCACGATATATATCGCCATATCGCCCAGCTCTAACTCTGGTATTACTGTCTTTCAGGTGACTCTTGTGGCTACTGCACCGCTAACTAACCTTGCAGTGGCTGTTCAGTTGGACCCTTCCTTTCCCAAAAAACTGAAGGCCCTCTACATCATGGGAGGAAACACTGATTGTGGGTGGATTTACTTTTTATTCAGGCTGTAGATTTTTTTATTTTTTATTCCAATGATTAAAGTGATATTGAAGACGTTTTCCTGTCTGCTGTGTATGTGTTTGTAGCTCGGGGTAACACCACCGTGTGTGGCGAGTTCAACTTTGTGGCGGACCCTGAAGCGGCTTACATCGTGTTGGACCGCTACACCTGTCCCACCTACATCGCTGCGTGGGAGTTCTGCTGCAGGAGCAGTATCTCATGGGTGAGGACTAAATAGCAAACAGAACAAGACGTACAGGCTTCACTGATCATTGTTAATACATATATTGATAAAATATCTCAAATATTCCAGTTTTAATTTTATCAGATGCTCACTGCTCTTTTTGGAATTTAAGGGGGTTTAACTGGCCAGAATTTTCAGTTTGGGATGAGGGAGGAATAAAACAAAAAACAAAGATCTGATCCCTTAGTGATGCTAAAAAACATCATAGGTGTGGAAGAAAAACTTAACCTTGTGGACAATCTCCATAAACATTAAACAAACGCATTAACTTGTTGTAGAACCAAATCTGGTGGTTTTTAGTTGCTTTTCTGGTCCCATGTCTCTTCATGTTAATATCAGATGCCAGAAATCTGCAGGGTATTGGCCAATCAGATGCGACTTACGAAAACATGCAGCCAGTTCATTTCATTAAAAACAAAATGATTCCTATTCTTAATTAAATAGAAATTATATTATGTTTCAAGCTGAGTATTACAGTTTTTGAGACTTATTCCCTGATATTTTCTGTTTTTTTTTTTATATTAGCAAACAGACAGCACTTCATAAAACTTCGGGGCCTTAAAGACGTCCAGATATTTTGGGATGATTGGCAAATAAATCTTAAGGGCTTTGTCGAAAGCATTAAATGGTGATTTTAAAAATGTCTGCATTGGTTTAATATTTGAAAAAAAAAAAAAATAAATACTGTAAGCGATGCAATTAATTATGGGGTTCAATTCGATTATTTCTAGATTAATTAACTTATTTCCTGAGTAAAATTCTTCTTCTTTAGACATAAAATAAATGTTTTCTCCTCCCCTGTACGTGTCGTACTGTAGTTCCTAATACCTGCCATACTCTGAAAGAATTTCCTATTTTATAGCCACTTTATAGAGAATGTGCAACTAAATTTTAGATTTTAAAAGAGCAAACCACGCTAGATGTTTATAACCAGAATGGCTTCAACCAAACAGCAACAATTAATAAAAAATATTTCATATAATTACTTATATTGTCTTAAAAGTGTCCGAGAAATAAATTCTGCTACCATTTAACAACAGCGCCATTAGGATTTAATTGTTGGTAAGTGGTCGTTATCGGAGCCTCTGAGAGCACAAACATTTTTTTATCAGTTAAAATATACTTCAACAGATTTTGTTTCTTTGTCCCATTCAGATTTACAGTACCTACAAAATGTCTCGACCTACTGGAAAACATTAAGAACTAGAATTCTGAAGGGAAGCATTTCAAAAAGAGGAAATGAGGAACGTTCAAAACTAGATATCAAATTGCAGCAGCAGTGGATCTAGTAGCAGTGGTCTCCAACCCTGGTCCTCAAGATCTACTGTCCTACAGATTTTAGATGCATCTCTGCTTCAACACGGCTGGATCAAATGATTGATTACCTTTTCAAGCCCTTCATTTAATTAAGCTCTGTTGAAGCAGGGATGCATCTAAAATCTGTAGGACAGTAGATCTTGAGGACCAGGGTTGGAGACCACTGATCTAGTGCATTTAAAAAGCTTAAAAGAAAGAAAAATAAATCAAAAACACACAACCTGAACTAACCATAGCTATTTGTGTCACAATAAAGATGATTAAAAAAAATAACATTTAAATTAGCGTATTGTACTCTGACATAAAAAAAGTTTGGATGTAATCAAATATGGATTTTTATTACATTTTACCTTTCAGTCTTTCTGGGACGAGTGGCTGTCTACAAATACAAAGAAGGCTGCCTTCATCAAGAAGATATCAACTCTTTCAATGAAGGTAAGTTCATATTCTAATGTATTTTTACTCCTAGAAAAATGTCCAGCCTCTTAGAGACTCCGATTTACGATGTGTGCAGAAAGCTCGTTCAGCAGAGTACCAGAAGGAAGTCGTAGCTGGAAAAGGCTTCAATCCCTGTGACGTCTTTGCGCTTGCTGCTGCGGTTGATGATGGATTCATAACTGAGAGTGAAGAGGTGAGCTTTTTTTATTGTCAATAGCGTCAGCTTGAAGGCGGAGTTCAGTTTAAAAGTGATTTCTCCCACAGGTGGCAGTGACAGTAGAACTGGATGGGAGAAACACCCGAGGCATGATGGTAATGGACCACATGGAGCAACTGAAGAAGGACCACAAGGCTGTCATCATTAAGACTGTTGACTTGGAGAAGCTGAAGAAAATGTTGTTTAGAGCAGTACAATAGAAATATTACCATTTGGCATGTTCATCGTGATAAGTATTACCTGAATGATAATAAAATGGGCATCAACACATAAAGAGTTTTGATATAGCTTTATTTCTTTGTTTTTCTTTCAAAGTACACTTTAATACCTAATTCTGTGTCAACCTGTGTTGAAGTTATGACCACAGCAACCAAGACCAAGGAGTACAGAGACAAGACCAAGACCTAAAGAGGCCAAGACAGAGCAAGGCCAAGGCCTTTAGAGACCAAGACAAGGTGGAGATCTTTAGAGACCAACAAGGGCTAGACTTTTAGAGCCTGAGACCAAGACAAGGTCAAGACCATCAGAGGCCGAGACAAGGCCAAGATTTTTAGAGGCTGAAACCAAGACCAGGACCTTTAGAAGAAAAAATAAAAACAGAGGCAAGTCCAGGACCTAGAGAGGCCGAGCCCAGAACAAGGCCAAGAACTCTAGAGACAGAGACAAGGTCAAGTCCTTTAGAGACCAACAAGGCTAGACCTTTAGAGCCAGAGAACAAGACAGGGTCAAGACATGGCCGAGGCCTTTAGAGACCGAGACAAGGTCAAGACCTATAGAGACCAACAAGGGCTAGACCCTTAGAGCCCGAGACCAAGTCAAGGTTAATACCTTTAGAGGTTGAGACGGAGACAAGGCCAAGACCTTTAGAGGCTGAGACAAGACCAAGACCTATAGAGACCACCAAGGACAAGATCTTTAGAGGCTGAGACAGAGACAAGGCTAAGACCTTCAGAGACAGAGACAAGGCCAAGACCTTTAGAGACCGAGGCAAGGCCAAGACCCGTAGAGACAGAGAAAAGGTCAAGTCCAAGACCTTTAGAGACACCAAGGGCAGGATCTTTAGAGGCTGAGACAGAGACAAGGCTAAGACCTTCAGAGACAGAGACAAGGCCAAGACCTTTAGAGACCGAGGCAAGGCCAAGACCCGTAGAGACAGAGAAAAGGTCAAGTCCAAGACCTTTAGAGACCGAGGCAAGGCCAAGACCCGTAGAGACAGAGAAAAGGTCAAGTCCAAGACCTTTAGAGACCGAGGCAAGGCCAAGACCCGTAGAGACAGAGAAAAGGTCAAGTCCAAGACCTTTAGAGACTGAGACAAGGCCAAGACCTTTGGAGGCCTCTGAAGGTCTTGGCCTTATCTCGGTACTCCTTGGTCTTGGTTGGTGTGGTCTTCACTACAACACTAACAAAACCCTTCATTGAAAGTACTTTGGAATGTACACTTTAAGGAGAAAAATAAACAAAACACAACTGAATCCCATTTGTCTCCACTTAAAGAACAAGAAGATTTTAAACAACTAAAAGTCAACAGTCGTTTCTTTCAAAAGACGGTTTTGGTTGTTAGGTCACAACCTGTGAAATTAGAAGTTACTCAAAAACAAGGAGGGCATCGACAAAAGGCGCATCCGAATTTTTTTTTCCTTTTTTTCTCCTGGATAATCCAACCACATCACTGTCCATTGGCTGGAGCTCAACAGAAGAGCTGACAGGACCTCAGGGAACCAGCTCAGCATCAATCAGGCCAGAGTCCAAGTTCTCCAAGTCAGCCAGATGTCCTTGTCAACCACATTCGGCTTGAAACAGATACTTCATCACACAGATGAAAGTGGAAGTCTTTTTATTTTTGTGTTCGAGACCGCGCCGGAGCCAGCTAGCATCCGATTTCAAATTAAAAAGCCTCCTATTTGACTCTGTATTTGTAAAACCAGCAGAGGCCGTAGGTGAAGTTCCAGCCCAGAGATAAAGAGAGGATGTAGATGAGGCCGAGCAGAGCGAAGGGGTAGAGGAGCACCACGGTGTTCGTCAGGAAGGGTAGAGCTGAAATTACCGAAAGACAACTGTTAAACTTTACTGTCCTGAAACTGAACTAATGATCAGTTTAACCCTTTATGGAGGGGTGATGCTAATTGGCTTTAGAAAATTTCCAGTCTAAATACCACAAAGATGGTTTATACATTATACAATTGTTGGTTAATATTCAAGCCTCTGGCACTTAGGATACCATAAAATGGGATTTCTATATAATTTAGCATTTGGTAGTGTGAACAAAACATGATCCATGTAAGAGCAAGGATACACTGTGTGGAATTCAGCTGATAACCTACATCTGAATTAGGTTGTACAAATATTTATTGATGTATTTTACAACTGAAGAATAGACCATTTCTGACCAAAGGTTCCCAAAGTTATTTGGGATTTTTAGTTTGAAACTTTTTAGTTTCACCAGTCCACCAAGGAATAGAGATGAGTAAAATTAGTCATATTTATAATTGAAATTAGGGGTGGGCGATATATGGAATATACTCGATGTAGCTCGATTTTTCCCACGCATGATAATTAAAATGACTATCGCGACCATTGAGTAGAAATCGCATGACGACATTAAGCCATCTGCATCTATTTCAGTGAGAGTTTAATTTTTCCCACGTGCCTTTAATGAATCATAAACCCCTCCTCCAAACAGGATTATTTTATCGCACACTACAGCAACCGGCAAACTAATAATGGTGACAGCATATGTTTCAAATAACAATATATGGCAGTGGTTTGGATTTCATGCCGAGGACGTCGAGCAAAAGGCGCTAATTTGTATGACGTCCCGCAAAAACTATTGCTGCAAATGGTAGCAGTACCAATTTATTCCCCCACCTAAAAAGTAATCTGCTGCAAAATTAAGAATGCTGTAAACTCAACATGTCAGCTTCTCCCCGCACACCAATTAAAACATTAAACAAATCAGCTGTGAAGCCGATGACGTTGGCCTCGTCGTTTGAAAAAGCGATCCCATATGAGAGAAAAAGGAAGAGATGGAGGGGAATCACAGACGCTATTTATTGCGATATTTAAATGAGTTTTCTAAACTTGGCAATGTTCTGAATTTTACAACTATTTGTGCTTATTTAAAATTCCCAGCAGGTAAAGATCAATGCAAATAGTTTGGGGATTCTCTGATAACGCTCCAATTTTTGGACTTCCAATTTTGTTTTTGTAATTTGAGGTCAATTTTTTTTCTATTCCGTTTTTTTTATTATGCACAAAACAGCCCTTTTTTTATTTTGTATTTTATTTAGTATTGGGTTTTTACTTGGTTTCCTGTTCGGTTGCTGGGCAGAAATGTTTTAAATTTGAAACCAAAAGTTTGAATGATTAAATCAGTGCAATTTTATGCACTCAATTGTTTTTTTAACAATATAGTATTATATATAGTGTATAGCGATATAGCAACAGCACGATATAGAATTTCTTCATATTGCCCAGCCTTAATTGAAAAATGAGACTAGAAAAGTACCTTTTATATGTGTTTATTTCTATAATCCAAAAATTTATCTAATAAAAACTGTCACGATGAATTAATGATTAATAATATAATTTCACACAATGATAAAACATTGGTAAATTAAACAATAAGTTAAAAACTCCTTGGAACGTTGGGTGAATTAAAGCAACGGTTGTCAAGAAAACTAATGTTTTGATTGCATCTCTAATACTTATTTGTTATTACAAAATAAAAGGTAATTGGAAAATGCAGCAAAGTATACAGTAGCGATGGGGGCAAGTGGCGCATGTGTCGAGCTCCAACAGCAAAACCCTTTGATAATGATTGAACTTTATTGATCTTACATTGAGGAAATTAAACTCTGCATTTAACCAATCTCCCTGGGAAGCAGTGGGCCGCCACTGTGTGCCTAAAACATGTGCTCAGGAACTCAGAGTGGAGGAGGTGGGGATCGAACCGGATACTTGCAACCTTCGCAGAGCACAAGCGCACTGCTCTAACCCACTAGGCCAACACTCCCCTCATCTTATATATGTTATACGTTTGTCAGTGTTGGTATCATTGCAGGAAAGTCCAGTGGACTTCCAATGTTGGAACTGTAATTAATATACAGTCATATGTTTACATTATTACTGTTGCTTACCTTTATCACGGTTGCACTTAAAAAAAAATGTCCTGAGAGCTGTACTGAACAAAATGTATTTTTGTATACACTTTTTGTGTACAAAATTACAATAAAGTCTGTCTAAGTCTCTAAGTCAGTCGCTGCTTCGAACTGACCGTCAATGCAAAGCTTCTACCAAAAAAAAAAAAAAATCGATCTTTTGTTGTTTATCATCAAATTAATCAACAAATATGGAGCAGCCTCGAGGCAAAGAGAAGTTGGATCATTTTAATCTCATGTTAGTTTTAATTTTCTTGTTGTGTCATCTTGTTCCTCTCAGTTATTACTCAACATATCTGAATCAAAATTCAGACTCCAGTACTCTGTATGCTGTTCTCATTGTAGTTATTATTTTATATTAATAAAGAAATCCTAGTTCACAAACATCCTTATTCACTATTTTTCTTTTTAGCTTTTTTATTGTATTTACACTGTCACAAGTACAGAGCAACAAAATGAACTCTCACAAGCACGCTGCTCTAACCACTAGGCCAACGCTTCCCTACACTTTCCACTTTCACTTAAATTTTCGTATTAAATTTTGTATGTTTAAGGATTGCATCTAAAACATATTTTCAACTCAAACGACATGATATACAATATATGTGAAATAATACATTATAGAAATGGCTTAAATGATATTATAGGTCATCAAATCAGTGTCAGTTTAGTCTGTCAAAGAGGCCGTCTGTAGTGATTTTAAATGTCCAGCAGGTGTCAGTATTCAGTGACACAGAATCAATACAGTTTGCAAATATGTTGAAACGCTTCATGATGCCTCATGAACCCATCACCAGTGTTGGGCAAGCTACTTGTCCAGTGTAGTGAGCTAAGCTATCAGCTACTCAACAATAAATTAAGCTTCACTACACAAAAGCTACCACCTAAAGAATTATAGCAAGCTAAGTTACACTAATGTGTTAAAAGTAGCTTAACTACATCAGAAGCTACTTAACGTTGTACCAACCTAATGTCAATTCAAAATGAGTCTGACACACTAGTTAAAATATTTATTAAAGATCAGCCAATGACATATCACAGTGTAAACATTGCTTTATGATCAGCATATTAAAATAAAAACTAAAGTAATTACTAGTAGACAAACTAGTAAACAATCTGCTGTTATTAGAACCAAATTAAAGGTACTGTGTAGTGTTCTACACATCGAGACATGGCTATGAGTTTGCAATCAATGGACATCTCTAGGGAAAACAAAACCCTACAAAAGACCTCAATTAAACAGTTGATTCAAGTAACAAACAAAACTGTTTACAAAAGAAGGTGAAAAAATAAAGAAGCTATTTAAGAGATACATATATATATATATGTCTCACCATTTAATTTAATTTCTACCTACATATTTATTCATTGTATTTTTGGAGGCAATTAATTGAAGGCTTATTTATTTATTTATTGAGCATATATTTATTTATGTATTTATTTTATATACGGTAGAGCTGTTCCTCCATAAAAAATCTTATCTGTGCACAGCCTAAAAACAGATTTATGTAAACATCCTGTCAGGTAAACTAGGCCATGAAAACACAATATGGAAGTTTCACTACTGCTCTCTAATTAGAGTATCTTAGTGGCACATAGATATGGGAGAATTATCCTGCCATAATGCAAGAGCACATCATTTCAATTTGAGAAAAGAATTTCATCTTCTTGCTCTCAAAACTTATAATGCTCACACTCAAAACATGCGCTCTCTCTCAAATTCTCTTCTCTCTGTGTTTCTTCTCTCAGACTTAATCCTTCTTGCACAGATATTTTCTCCTCTCGCTTGCCTCCTTCTCTTCGCGCACAAACCGCCCTCTGTTACGCTCGCAAACCCGTAGGCTCTGCTTGCGGATTTGTTTTGCTCTCTCAGACTGCAGTTGGATCGTTGCCTAGCAACCTTTCCAGCCAATAGAACGACAGCCTCGGAAAGGGTGCGCTTGTTTAACCCTACATAGTGTGCCTGTGCTACTACGCCACTTACAAGAGCGTCAGCTGAAACTGCTATTTACAGTAGCTTGTGGCTGATTGTTGTTTAGAAATAGAAAACCTGGTTTCATTTCTTAGTTTTGCCCTGGATTTTGTAGCGTTTGTGGACGCTACGTCGCTACTTGATCAAAACAATAACGTCGCTACAGGAAAGTTACTTGATAAATAAAGCAGCGACGCTACGGTCAAGCTACTGGAAGATGTAGTTAAACTAATAGCTTCGCTACATGTAGCGGCGCTACTGCCCATCACTGCCCATCACTACTGTATTTAGCTCAATTTGAAACATTTTAATAACTAAAACCTAATTTTTCAAATACATGTTTTAGATCAATTTCTAATTTGGTTTGTATGAGTAAAACAGCATTAATAGTTAACATACTTTGAAATTTTGTTGTTCCCTAGATGCCTAGCATCACTAATTAGCTTGATACGTAAATTTACACTAGTTGTAAGTTTAATGTTAAAATGAATAACTATTCTATTTAATCCAACACCTGATTTATAGCAATAACACAAATTATACATTTTTTAAAATAAATGCTGGGTATAATTTCGGGCATTAAGGGTTAATGTGGCACACACAAATGGATGATATCTAAACTTGTTATTCACATTTAACTCCCCTCCTTTACACCCTTAAAAATAAGATGATGCAATAAAATTTTTGCAGAAAAACAAAAAAAAAATTGTTTCCAGTAAGTCAGAAAAAAACAGGGCAGATAAGACTCACCGTTGTAACCCAGGAAGGTGATGTAGAGGTAATAACTGATGGCAATGAGCCACAAAGTGTTTCCAACAAAGTAACCCACGAACCAATCTGAGTTTATTACCACAACATCTGTGGGGGGAAAAAACACACATTACTGCATGAAGCGTTTTGTTTGCAGGCCTAAACCATGCAAAATACTTACGGTTGATAAAGAAAAGCTGCAGAAAATGCAGGATGACCAGAAGTGGGTAGAAAGCATTTAGATGAACATCGAATGCATAGCCCCACTCGACGTCAAAGTTTTTGCTTGGGTGTTTCAGCAGGTATTTGTTGCTGATAACCCTGGATAAGAAAATCAAAGAAAAATATATATTAATTTAAAAATTGTCAATCTGTCACTCGTTCATTTTGGTATCTTTATCAACAGTGTAACTCACCACATGAGGGTTGATATGAGCAGACCAACACCTATGCAGTCAACAAAGACCACCCACAGCAGCAGTTTCAGGGTATCCACTACCCCCATGTCCAGAACAAGACCAAAGCCTATCGTTGAGACTGAAAAGCAAAAGAAAGCAACACATTAAAATGCTACAAAGAGCGAACTTATCCCATTTTTTGTAGTTTTAACTCAAAAATCGGAAACAGCAAGTTTTAGCTTACCACACAGCCAGATGCTGAGAAGGACCAGAAATGCAGGATCATCTCTGGCCCACTGGTCCTTGGTCTGTTTCCTGTAGTGGAAGTTGCGGTAGACCCTCTGCGGCGACGTGAACAGGTAAAGCATCTGCCAGATGGCGAACTCAAAATCCATATGTCTGAAATGGAGCAGTCGCCGCAGGTATTTGTAGCGCTTGGCGCCTGCTGTGTGACGTGCGGCGTCCCTGTCGCTCGGGTCGCCGTTAATGTGTGGCAGGGTGGTCGGCAGCATGGTGCCTGAATTTAAATCAAAACATATTATATAAGTAAAGTTTTCAGTTGACATGTGGTTTAAAAGTTATCTACAAACACCTCCTTCTTGTTTTTAATACTTAAATACTGATTGGTAATTTTTTTTTTTATTACTGAGCTTCATTGCTGGACTCTATTTTTCAGTCCAAGAAACATTTTGACTCAATTTTATTCCTAATCTGAATGATCACCCAAGTTCAGAGTAAGGAGTAGGACAATACACCACATCTACGCTGATGATACACAACTTATAATGTTTGTGTCACCACTAAGGTTTCAAAGTATCATTACTCAAATGCTGGATGCAAATACTAGTACTAATTTGCTGTGGTATTGATACTAAATACAAGCGTTGTTTTCATATTTTTTGTTAATTTCTGATTATTTTCACATTAAAAGAATAATGCCTCAAATAACCTTAACATTTTGTCTAATTTTGTTATGCACATTTTGCCAGTTTTAAGTGTAAAATGTTAGTATCAACTCTTGACAACCGTAGTCACCACATGACTTTAATTCTTTAAAGCAAGGGTATTCAACCTGCAGCTCTGGAGCCACAAGTTTGGACCCTTAAAAGGCTATTTATAGTGGCTTATATAGATATAAGGAACCAACTAATGCAGTATAATTAAAAAATATCATTCTTAGAAGATTATGTGTTTTAAGAATATTTGATAAATTATCACTAAAGAAAGTGACACTAAAATAACCAGAAACATGTTTTTAGCATTGTTTTTCTTGCCATTGGCTCAGATTTTTATTTTGTTTTTTCACATAAAATATCCTATCAAAGAAAATTCTTGTTCAATCTTTATGAAACATTTTAATGTTTTTCCTTACCTTAAAGCTAAAAAATATAAATAAACCATTTTAAGATATTAGATATTTAACAAAAACAAACAAGTTGTGTTTTATTAAAAGGTTATATATTATTTGCAGCTTTAAATGACTTTCACTAACAGGACCCTGGGCAAAATGACTCTTTTAATTTTTAAAGGTTGGAGCGATTCACCATAAAGGGTTTGGATAAGTGTGTCATAGCATTCAAACGTTCAGCCCAAAAATAATTTAGAGAAGACAGAAGTAATTTTTTTGGGCCCTAAAAGACAGGAAAGAGACCAAAAAAACAATAAGATGCAGAAAGAAAAACTATGCGGGTTTAAGATCTTGGACCTAAATTTTAACTCTAGATAAAGTAATTATTAAAAGTGTTTTGCAAGAGAATATTCCTGTGAAAAATGGACACTTAGCTTTTATTTTTAGTAGTTTAGCTCCTTTTTTACTAATACTCAGTCAGCATGGTACTGGTTGCATTTCCTTTGACTCACTGATTACTAAAGAGACAAATTTTGGGGGGATTTTGCACATTGAGATCATAGGATTTATTTCAGAGACACTTAATAGTATTGTTTTGTGTTTTAACAGAAAATGAATGAGTGTGCACCTAATCGACTGACCTAGGTTGTTATTAATTTACAACTAGATTACTTTGGCATTTATCACTCCTTTAAGGGAAAACAGTAATAATTAAGTAGCTGTAGTTTACTAAAAAAAATTTTGCCTGAATCCTGACTAAAATGATAAACTCCTGATAGACCTGATATGAAATGCATCAAATCATATTGGGCCTAAATATAGCTGTGTTCGGCTTATCAGGTCGCAATCATCTAGATCCCATCAGAGACTTGTTTACCATTTAAGGTCACATATAACTTTCATGGTTAATTTTAATTATGGAATGTCATGCTAAACATTTGATTAAAATGCATTTAAATTGTTTATCGTTTTAAAATAAATCTGAAATGTATTTATTGCTTTTTACTTTGATTCATCTTGCTGCTTTTTGCCATAAAATATAAATACCTGGTACTTGTAGTAATATGTAAACAGGAAAACAGGGAGGTAATGTAAGCTAAAACTGCTACATGTACTGCACTTTAAAAAAAAAAAAACATTTAAGGTGTTTGCAACACATATATTCATTGTTCACATCAAATACCGTCGATAACAACCCATTAAATGTCGCATTTTGTATTTATTTCACCTTGTTTTCTCAAAAACACTAGCTAGTTAGCATGTTGCTAAAAACTCTAAAAGTTGGAGAGGCTCTCTCTTAGTTTTGTTCGAGACAGGGCCAACTCTAACAGTTAACTGAATGAAAATAAATGTTTTGTAAACAAATTATTACCTGATATTGTTTGAATCCCCCTCGAAACAGAACAGCTTTGCCTTTCGTCTCTGTAACTGTTAGTAAAACGCTTCCTGGATTGTCGCGAAAGTGCACACGTAGAAACTTCCGGTAACTTCCCGCGATGCTTGATGGGAAAGGTAGTCCAAAAACCCTGGTTGCTAACGGGCGAAAATAGAGATATGTAATAAAAACTATTACGTGGCCATCTTCGTGGGGTCAGACATGTCAAAAATACTCACATTATTTATTTCGGTTAAAGTACAGATTACTTTTATAAGAAAAGACAGCTAAAAGCAAAATGACCGACTGAACTTCTTTATCCAAGTAAAAGTAAAAAGGTAGAGTACATTGTAAAATGAAGTTATTGCCTTAAAACAACTTTATTCTACTGTATTATTTAAAAACATATATGCACAACAATTTTTATTATCTTTTGTTTATCGTTTTGGTAGAGAGAAAATCAAAAATAATTTTTTTTAGTTTTGTTCTGAATTAAAATTTAGGTAACAATAATATAGATTGAAATGAATAGTAGTGCTGCATAAGCAGATTAATGCTTTAAGAGATCAAATAATCACAGGATTTAAATTGCAAATATCATTGAAATAGAAACTCAAATATGTACAGTAATAAATGGGGAATGGATGGGAAATCCTTGAATCTAAGAATAAAATAAATTATCTGCAGTGTTTTTCCTTAGTTCTTCCATGTCACTATCAGTGGGTTGTTTTTAAAGAAAATGCTCCAACTATACAGATTCTCTATACATTCTCTTTATCATCCCTCTATTTTTGCTGGCAGATGTTGTCATGTTGCCATAAATATGTAACAAGCTACTGAGAAAGTAATTAAATGAGGAGTAGAAAACATAGATATTTGTTGTTAAATGAAGTGAGTAAATATAAAAATAATCAGAATTAATACCAAAAAAGGTAATACTTAGTAACTAAATATTTATACCTAATAAGTATACTGGACACCTTTGGATAGGATTAGCATAAGGATTGTTAAATAAATTATTTGGAAGAAATTTACAATCTTCTTTTGAAACTGGTTTTATCAAATAGGATGAACCAAAATAAGATAATTTTCTCATCTTTTCTATAATTTATACTATACCATCCATCTTTAACACTAACGAAACCCATCATGGGGAAAATATAGAAAGAAAAAAGGTGCAATGCAATCATTGGATCCCTGTATTCAGCATTAAAATTGTACTTTGTTGAACCCTTGTTTGATTTGATTTTAACATCCAGTCATCTATGATAAGAGTTTGCTTAAATCTGGATTCCTAACTTAATCATGTTTGAATATTCTATCTTGCAACAGCTGCCTAAATAGCCATAGATTATTTAAGAATTTCTATTGTACAACAGAAACTTGTGCAGGTTTGATGGATAATAATATTAAATTAAACATGTAATATAGCTACTGATGAATGTATAGGTTAAAAAAAATCTATTATGCATGAAGTGTTTAGATATATTTCTCTAATTGGTTCAGATGAAATCAGGGCCTTATGAAACGTTGAAGGTGCAGAGACATTTATTGTGAAGAGGACGTAGAGCAGTGTAGCAGTTTAAGAGTAAAGAAATGGAAAAATGACAAAAGAGGTAGAATGAAGATAAGAAAGGAAGAGGATTATATAAGGTACAACAATCTGTATTAAATAGTATCATTAATGAGAGAAACAGAAGGGAAGAAGTAATAATGATCAGATTAAGAGTGGGTCATACCTATTTAAATGACAATTTATATTTAATAGGGAGGAAAAATAATGATAAATGTGAAGGATGCGGAGAAAAAGAAAAATTAGAACATGTACTGATGAACTGTAAATCTTATGAACATTAAAGGAAGAAATTAGGAAAAATGGTTGAAAGGACAGGCCAAGACGAGTCTTAAAGGAATAATTGGAAATTAAGGAAATATAAAGGATATTAACAGATTAAGGAAAGCATAATTTATTTATCTACAGTATACAAAATAAAAAAAATAGAATTTGATGTAAGGTAATGTTGCTACACACTTATGTACAGTAGGTGGCGGTATGCGCCTTAAAATTGCTTGCGATACGCCATAATAGAAAAGAAGAAAAAGAAGCCTTTTATTGTGAAGAGGCAACCTTTATTTTTGTAGCGGAAGTAGACTGCGTAGCGCTTTCTACGCCATAGCCGCTTCTCCTGTGAGGTAACTAACTTCGCCGCTGTTCTGGTCGAGAAGGCCAAATAGCAAAAGGTGAGAACCAGCTGCACGATTTACACGAATATAGTCTCACATATGCATAACATCCAATTAGAAGATGAACGAGAAAATCAATGTTTTAGCGCGTTTATTCTGCTTCCATAACAGCCCTAACTGCCCGTGTCCTTGAATGGTGTTAGCTAACGTTATTAGCTTCATGACAGATTCAAGCTGCCTCTTTGATTTGCTTTAGGTAAAACATTTTAAACCCTAATAATAAGCGATTTAAAATTATATATTTGCATATTTATTTCACAATGTTACATTCAAGGTGTCTGTGAAAGGTCATAAACTTCGCATTGAGGACAAAAACAGTTGTTATTGTTGACAGGAGGTAGCTACTCATCCAGATTAATCAAATTTTTTCGGTTACCAGCTGCTGAAACACGATGATTTTAACTTTAACCAATCATCATTAATGTCTTACTACACACTGTGCAGCTGTTTAGCTACATTTTAAACACCTAAAGCATATCTTTTGGTTCATATGATTACAAAAAGGCTCCCAGTTTGTCCCTTTTCATCTATGAAGCTTTAATATTCTTTCAGGAAAGATAAACAGTTGTTCACACCAAAACACTTGATTTCTCAAAATATACTTTAATTTAAAAACTGTGCAATATTTCTATAAAGTCAATAAAGATTCTTGATTAATTCTTGAAAATAAATTACATAATTTGATGAAGCACAGAGGACAAACATCTACAGACGACCTGTTTATAGTTTGGGAAACTCTTGGATGAGCTTTGTATTTCAATCTTTTTGAGGCTGTAGTTGGTTGTGGATCTTAACAAACTTCTTCCTCTCATGTAACTTTCAATGATCGTACTTGGATACAGCAGCTTCCTCTGTAAAGTTGTTTTAGGACTTTACCTCATTTTGCATTTCTCCATACAGTGCATGCTTTTCGCTGTATATCGTAATAATCAATAGATTTTGTCTCACAGCATCATGTTGCGACTGCCTGCCGTCGGTCGAGCTCTATCCGGAGCTGCAAAGAGCAGCCTGACTTCTTCAGCACCTGGTAAAAACAATTACTGCTTCAGTTTCACTGTGACTTAGCATTATTATTATGTAACATGGCATTGTTGTATATTGGAAGGAGGAAAAAAAAAGACCCTAACAAAAAGGGAAAGTATTTTATTTCTGCTGTCCCGATTGTTTCTCTATGTATTTGATAGATAGATTGTAGCATTTTCAGGTAAGCCTTCTTTTTTTGTGTGCATCTCTAGTGCGCACTACTGTACGGGCTGCCAGCAACATGGTGGAAGTGTTTGTGGATGGGAAACCTTTAGAGGTGGAGCCTGGAACCACGGTGCTGCAGGTAAGATACATCAGATGGATATGATGCAAACAAAAACAGCTGTATGTGGTGTTGCATAATAGCTGAGGATGATCTAAATGGTCATATAATGTCAATAATATGAAGCACATGTGAACACATACAGACTAGAAAACAAGCAAGAAGGAGGAACTTAAGGCAGAAAAATCAGAGAGTTAAACAGCGCAGCACAGGTGATGTGCTGCTACATGAAAGATACAGGAAAGACCAGGCAGCTGCAGCTACCAGACATAGGAGCTGTCATTGAATTGTCTAGATATAGTTCTAAGATGTATTTCATTTAATTAATATAAAAAAAATAATGTCAGGTTTTTCAGTATTTGATCAGGTAATAACTGATTATAACCAATTCTAGTTTATGGTCTAAGTGAAGCCTTATAAACTCTTTCCAGCAGTTCTAGACCTCATGTTAAAATAATGAAAAAACGTTTATTTAGGGATTATTTCAAATGTGTATTTTCCTTTCCAATCATATTTTTTTATTTCATTTAGATTTTACAGGATAAGTCACATCAGTTGTGGCAAAAAGCTCCCTTCTCTAAATGACAACCTGACATTTTAAAAGTAATGTGATTTGTAATTAATAGAAAGTCTGGATTCTCCCCAGGCTTGTGAGAAAGCAGGAGTTCAGATCCCGAGGTTCTGTTACCATGAGCGTCTCTCAGTTGCGGGAAACTGTCGGATGTGTCTTGTGGAGATTGAGAAAGCCCCAAAGGTATTTTTCTTTTTTTTTTAAGCCTACCCAAAGGTGGTTTATTACAAATCCTCTGACATATGTCCATGTGTGCTCTCTATAGCCAGTGGCAGCCTGTGCCATGCCTGTCATGAAAGGTTGGAACATCCTTACAAACTCGGAAAAAACACGCAAAGCCAGGTACCAGATACAGCTGTGATTTAGAGAGGAGATTCTTGTAGGACGCAGTAAATAAATGCTGTGACCTTGTGTTATCAGAGAGGGAGTGATGGAGTTTCTGCTGGCAAACCATCCACTGGACTGCCCCATTTGTGATCAGGGTGGAGAGTGTGACCTTCAGGTAAAACCGACCCTGGGTCAAAGGATCTAAAGCAAGAGATTGGATCCAACCACCCGTGGCTGATCGGACGGTCTAACTGGAAACAATTCTGTTCTCAGGACCAGTCCATGCAGTTTGGTTCGGACCGCAGCCGCTTTACAGAAGGAAAGAGAGCAGTGGAAGACAAAAACATCGGACCTCTTATCAAGACCATCATGACGCGCTGCATCCAGTGCACACGCTGCGTCCGGTCAGTCAGCTGTAAATCTGTCTGGTCTTTTTTAGCCAGTGGAGAATTAAATTCCCATTAAATTTCTTCCTAAATTGTTTTCCAGTTTTGCCAGCGAGATCGCAGGAGTCGAAGACCTGGGCACGACAGGAAGAGGAAACGACCTCCAGATCGGGACTTATGTAGAGAAGATGTTTATGTCAGAGCTGTCGGGAAACGTCATAGACGTGTGTCCCGTTGGGGCGCTCACTTCCAAACCCTACGCGTTCACCGCCAGACCGTGGGAAACCAGGTAGGCCAGGCTTTGGTCCTTAAAACCATGTTAAAAGGTTTCCTATCACCTTAATAATCTGTTGTGGTCACAGGAAAACCGAGTCAATCGACGTGTTAGACGCTGTGGGCAGCAATATTGTGGTGAGCACTAGAGGAGGGGAGGTGATGAGGGTGATGCCCAGACTGCATGAAGATATTAATGAAGAATGGATCTCTGATAAGACCAGGTGATGAAGGAATACATTTCCTTTGCTTTTGATTTTTCATTTGGTTTATTTAGACCTTCCTGACTAAAATGTGCTTCACAGGTTTGCTTACGATGGGTTAAAGAGGCAGCGGCTGACCCAACCAATGGTGAAGGATGAATCAGGTCAGCTAACACCAACCAGCTGGGAGGATGCTCTCACCCGTGTTGCAGGAGCTGTAAGTATATCATTGGTATTTAGTAGTTTTATGTTCTTTTTTGTTTTGTTACATGCTCTGATCTGACGTTAATGTCTCTTCAGCTCCAGAGCGTGCAGGGCAACGAGGTCGCAGCCATCGTAGGGGGGATGGCCGACGCAGAAGCTTTGGTTTCCCTCAAAGATCTCCTCAACAGACTGAATTCGGAGAACCTCTGCACCGAAGAGGTTTTCCCCATGGCAGGAGCAGGGTGAGGGCCGCTCTACGTCGACATCATCAGTCTCTGTTTGTACTTATTTTTCTAGCAACGTTGAATTTTTTTTTTCTCCTCCCATTCAGGACCGATTTGCGTTCCAACTACTTGCTGAACACCCGCATCGCCGGCATCGAAGACTGTGATCTCCTGCTGCTCGTAGGAACGAACCCCCGTTATGAGGCTCCGCTGTTCAACGCCAGGATCCGCAAGAGGTCAGCATTGACAAACTACAGCTGTTGATATGATTGATCTTTATCTGGGCAAAGCAACACAAAGTAGTGTTTAATTGTGTAAAGGAAGGAGGATGAAAAGTCTGTTTAAATAAAATAAATCTAAGCTTTTTAGAAAATAATTGGCAACATCTTCAGTTTCTGGATGTCGAAAGCAGATTGAAACTTCCCACCGAAGTCTTCATGTTCAAGTTCTCACGGGGTCGAAATAAAAGGGGTGCAACCCTTAAAGATGGATCTAAGACTCTAATTTGTTGGTCAATCATCTAGTGTTTTATTAAATACATGGAAGGTTGGAGTCGTGACAGAAATTGTTGAAAACTTCATTAGTATTAATACTTCTTTTGATTTTCTTTTCTCTTTTACCCAGCTGGCTTCACAATGAGCTGCGTGTCGCCATGGTGGGCCACCAGGTTGATCTGACATACACATATGAGCACCTGGGAGAGGAGAGTTCGGTGCTAAAGGAGCTGGCCAATGGCACGCATCCTTTCAGCCAGGTGAGCGACGCGCAAGCTTACTTTGATCATTTTGGACATGTCCTGTCCCTGGTCTTATTTTCCCTTTGCTGTCTGCAGGTCCTTGCAGCTGCAAAGCGTCCTGTGGTGGTTGTTGGAAGCAGCGCGCTGCAGAGAGAAGACAGAGCTGCCATCCTGAGCGCCGTCTCCACCATCGCTCAGAACGCCAGAACCAGCAGTGGGGTGGAGGACGGTTGGAAGGTTCTCAATGTCCTGCACAGGTACGGCTTTGCGTAGCTCTACGTCTCTTTGGAATAGGGCACATGAGACTAAATGTTTGCATGTTTGCGTGCAGAGTGGCTAGTCAGGTAGCTGCCTTAGATCTAGGCTACAAGGCCGGCGTTGAAGCAATCAGGAAGAATCCACCCAAAGTCCTGTTGCTGCTCGGAGCTGATGCTGGCTGCATCACCAGAGCCGACCTACCTAAGGACTGCCTCGTCATCTACCAAGGTAAAAGCACAAAGAATCACTTAAAGCGCATGAATTAGTTATCCCTGGAAATTTGTTTAGACAAGTTTTTACCTCGCTAGGTCATCATGGGGACATGGGAGCCCCTATGGCAGACATCATCCTACCCGGTGCTGCATACACGGAGAAAAACGGTACCTACGTCAACACTGAGGGCAGGAGCCAGCACACCAGGCTCGCTGTCACTCCACCAGGGATGGCCAGAGATGATTGGAAGATCGTCAGAGCTGTATCTGAGGTCAGAGTTTGGCCAAACTTGTAGCTTTAGTTTTCTTCTAGCAATATTTTTATTAATGTTTGACGTGATTGCAGTTGGCAGGTGTAACGCTGCCCTACGACTCACTGGATGAGGTCCGATCAAGGCTGGCAGAGGTCTCTCCTAACCTGGTTCGTTACGATGATGTAGAGGAGGCAAACTACTTCAAACAGGCCAATGAACTTGCACAGGTTGGAAATGGTTGTTTTCTTTTATGTCCCTCTTCCTACTGATCTCATAAACAAATTATTTTTGTCCTTTTCTCTTTGTCAGACTGTAAATCAAGGCCTCATTGCAGCTCCTCTTGTGCCGCCTCAAATCACCGCCAAGGACTTCTACATGACCGGTAATTTAGTGCACAAAGACCATAAAAGGAAAAAATCTACTGAAACCAACAAATGATCCTGCTTTTTTTTCCAGACTCCATCAGCAGAGCTTCCCAAACCATGGCTAAGTGTGTCAAAGCTCTCACAGCGGGAGCTGCTGCCGTTGACGAACCATCTGTTTGCTAAAGAGCCCGACAGTAACAACTCCTCCAGCTATCCTCAAACACAACGCGAGTCTCGGAATGAACTCATCTCTCTATAATTTAAACTGTTCCTGTTGCTTCTTGTATACTTTGAATTGTTTCACTCTGCGAAGCAGCTTTGTTGAATATTGCTGAAAAGGATAAATAAAATCTTAAGAATTCCCAAATTACCCAATCCTAAGTGTTGTTTATGTGTAGTAATGTAGCTTTATTGGATTTAATTAAACCCATCCAGCAATAGGAACTAATGTTTAAATGTCCATTTCCGTCACGCTTATCCCAAGCAGGGTCGCGAGGGTTGCTGGTGCCTTTCTCCAGCTGTTTACATGCGAGAGGCAATTACAGCCTGGACAGGTCGCCAGTCCATCGCAGGGGCACACAGAGAGAAACAGGACAACCATTCATGCACACACATCTAAGGAGAATTTAGAGAAAAATCATTTAGAAGTATGATCCTTCTGGTTTGGTGGATCTGAAATGCACCATGTCCATGTTCAATCCATCCATTTTCAGGCCACCGGTCCAATATCCAAAATTCTATCCATAATTAAACCATTTGTCCTTAATCTACCCATTCATTCATTCAACTATTTCTCCATCATATAACCATTTGTTTATTATCCAACCACTTCCCCTTCATCCAACCATTCATTCACTATCCAACCGTTTGTCTGTCCTTCAATTTAATTCAGTTTATTTATATAACGCCAAATCACAACACGTCATCTCAAGGCACTTCTCTCAAGGCAGTTCACCAGATCATACAGTCAAATTGATTCAAAGTTTTCTATCTAAGGAAAACCAGTTGATTGCATCGACTCATTGACTTAAACACCTAAACCCTAACACTAAGAATGCTTGTAGCGACAGTGCAGAGGAAAAACTCAGCATCCAGCCATTATTCAACTATTTCTCAATCATATAACCATTTGTTTATTATCCAACTATTTGTCCATCTAACCATTTGTTTATGATCTAACAATTTTTCCATCAAACCTTTTGTTTATTGTCTAACTATTTGTTCTTCATCCAACCAATTGTTTATTGTCCAACTATTTGTTCTTCATCCAACCACTTGTTTATTGTCCAAATATTTGTTCTTCATCCAACAATCTCTCCATTATCCAACAAATCTAACCATCCACTCATCCAACTATTTGTGCTTCTTCAAACCATTCATTCAGTTTAACCATTTGTCCATCATCCAACCATTTTTTCCCCCCCAACTAGTCCATCATCCAACCATCCATCCATTATCCTGCTACTTCTCCATCATCTAACCATTTGTTTATTATCCAGCTATATCCTTCATCCAATCATTTGTTTACTGTCTATTTGTCCATCATTAAACCATCCATCTATTATTCAACCATCCGTACATTATCAAGCCATCTGTTCTTTGTCCAGCAATTTAAAAATCTTTTCCTTTGTGTACTCCAGCCTACAGCGTAGCAGCTCAGCAACCAGAATAGTTGTTTTGCGGCCTTGCTACCAGAGGATTTGCCCCAAGAGAAATAATTTTAGCCAGAGATGCCTACAGATATGTGCATCTCTTTATGGATGAAACTTTGTACTTAAAGGACACATTTGACCTTTTTTTTGTCAAACTAGTAAAATTTTAAACATTTAGAGAACTAGAGTAATAACATGCTTTTTTGTGTGTTTTCTGCAAAGCTGAAACTTCAAATGTTCATAATTATATGAGACAGAGGTTCTGGATGGTTCTAATTCACTGTAAAGGTATACATGTTTCTGTCATGGAGCCAAAATAAGATTAGTGTTTGAACTTGGACACAGTGCCTTTAGACGGATGGCTCCTGTCATATCCTGCTCACAGAGAAAAACCTCTTATATCCAAACACAAGTGCAGAGTCACACAGACACACAGGAGGAGAGAAGACAGTCGCATCTCTTTGCCTCTGGTCTGTTTATTGTCTCAGCCTGGGAAGCGGGCTGTTTTTCTTTTACTCCTCTGGATTATTTGATAGTTTTTCTACCTCAACGTCTTGTAAGTTGATGCTACATAACATTTGTGTGCAAACATTCAATTATTTTTGGATGCTTGTAATTCTCAAGGGTGATGTGTAGCTTTATTTTGCTTCCCTTTTAGGAGTTTCTTGTATGGGAAGGCAGTGTACAAATAGAAAGAAAATGGTTCCTGTTAAACTCCTCATACTGGGGGTTCAGAACACTGGAAAAACAGGTAATGGAGCCAGTTTAAGACGTTAAAGGGGAATAGAAAGGGGTTGGAATAACAGATATTCTAAAAGGATAAGTTTAGGGAAAGGTTCTGGTCGTGATTTCTTTAAAAGACTGAGACGATTAGAAACTTGGCCTAGATTAGATCAGATTAGTGAGCATGGACAGGTTATAATGTACCTGTTAGATGTAACAACATGGGTATGTTTCAACTCTAAATTAGTAAAAGTGGCAAAGTAAGTTATTTTTAACCTATTTCTTTAAACGGGTTTTAAAATTTTGGTTTATATTGAAAAATGCATGGATGCTTCCATCTATTTTCTATTTTATGTCAAGATGCTACATCTGTTTAACTGTTTTTTGTGTGTCTCTGTTGCTTTCTTCTACCTTCATTGCCTTGCAAAATAAGATCCTTTACATTTTGTCATATTGCCACAAACCTCAACGTATTTTCGTAGGATATTATGCATTAGGCCAACATGATGTGCCTTATTGATTTGCATTATTGATTAGCTTTTTTGTTCATTCTCATAAAAAAAAAAAAACACACAACATGATGCTTTCACCACCATGTTTGACTGCAGTGTGTTCAGGATAATCTCCAAGGTTTTTTCTTGTCTCGTTTTGTTTTTATTGCCATAATAATCGTTTTGAAAGCTGCCCAAAGAGTTCAATTTAATCTCAGGCTTTTCTAGTTTAAACACATTTAAACCATTGAATATTTTCTCCCATTTCACAATTATACACTACTTCAGTTTGATTTATTGAAAAAAAAAAACAGAAAACATTAACATCTATAAGAAATTCATGGATATTTTAGGCTAATTTAGGTGGATTTCTGTTATTTCACTCACTTTTACACCATGTTGAGTAAAGCACTCCTCTCAATAGTCTTTCTTTAATAGAACTTGGTTATTTTGGTCTGCATTGCCCTGGCTTACAGTGTCTTACTGTTTACTGTTTTTTATTATTATTATTTAATTAACCTGCTAAACATTTATTCATTTTAGATCAACTATGGTTTATTGATGTTAATTTTGTATCTCATTTTTGTTTCAACTTTTTCTATCTGTGTCATTAAGCAAATTTTAAGCCGTTTTGCTCCTGAATTTATTTCATTTGCAGGATTTATAATTTTCATTTTTTATATTCACACCAAACATCTTTCAACATGTGTCACATTTCAGGCAAGGTACTCAACAGTGATAATATCTGTTTTCTGTCACCAGCCCTATGTGTTCGCTTTATAACAAAGCGTTTTATAGGAGAATACGACCATAAAAAGGGTGAGTTTCCAGTACATATTATTTCCTCCCTAACATGGATACATAACTTGAGCATACGGTAATAACTAAGGTATTTCTACAGAGGTGACATACAGATGTAGCCGAACTGTGGACCAGGAAACTGTTGATGTGGAGATCTTAGATTTGCCTTGTAAGGTATGTTTTCAGTTTTTGTCAGCAAAGAAACAATTAGATCTTTATTGAAAAGAGAAATTTAACTTTTATGTTGCACAGTTGAAAAAAAAAAGAAAGATTTCCTTTGAGTAAGTTAGAATACATTTGTATGTAGTTAAAATGATAATATATCTAAAAACCTAAAGTGCCTTCACAGAGTTTAAGCATTTTAGCTCGCATAACATGCACCGAAGTACTATATAAAATCAAACTAAAACTATGTTAAAAAAAAGAGCAAACCTGCTTTCATTAGCCTCTAAGTCTCGTTGACTGAGTAGTGGGTAAAAATCTGAAAAAAAAAAAAAAAAACTAGTTATGAGCTATGTGGGGAACCTTTAAACTAAGTTAGGGTAACTTCCAACCCAACATACAGACTTAAGATTGATTGATTGACTTTATTGACCTCACAGTGGAGAAATGTTCTCGTTACATCAGCTCAAATAGTCAAAGAAGAAGAAGAAGGTGCCAAAGGAAGAAAAAGGTGCATGGGATATGTACAGGATATACAGTGCAGTGCATCCACATATGACAGTTTTTTTTAGTTTTTTTTTTTATATTAGGTTCATTTTACAGGTATTTATATAGATGGAAATGTATATTGTTATTGCACTGGGGGCAAAATATAGAGAAGCAGGTTATTGCACAGGGTATCAAATAGTAATTGCACAATATACATTGCACAAGTTGTATTGCTGTATTGCTGTTGTATTAGGGTATGTTGATTATGCACCATTAAATTTGGGCTAAGTTAGCATTGGTTTAATTGTTTTATTCTGCTCCAGAGCTCTGTGGCTTCTGTTGAGGCCTCCATTCGCTGGGCTGACGGTTTCCTCCTGCTCTACTCCATCACTCAGCGTTCCAGCTTCCTGGAGATCCCTCGACTTAAGACGCTCATTGACAAAACTAAACAAAGTCTAGGTAAAGATTACTCTTGATCAAAAGTTGTTCTATCTGTGCTACGTGGAGCCTCACAGGTGATGTGCCTTATTTAGCTGCTGAACTCTTGACCGCTCTGTGTTCATCATGTTGCCCTCCAGTGAGAATCTGCTCCCTGCCTGACATCTGTCTATTGTCACCTTCACACATGAGCAGCTGGAGCTCCCACTGATTCCTTGTTTGGTCGTCCACCTCGTGCTCTGTAGGCAGACTGCATGCCAAGGAATCATACTGCTTACTGTTGCTTTATTACAATTTTATTGTGCTTGTCAGCTTTTCCTACAGTGCTGGTAGCCAACAAGGCAGATCTGGAAATCGGCAGGAAGGTGACCACAGAGGAGGGACAGAGACTCGCCAAAGATTTAGGGTTTTGTATGCTTATGCTTTTTAGCCAATACAAACATTTTAAAATGCCCCGCAGCTTGTCTTACTGTGCCTAAACGTGTGTAGATGTGGTTTCAGAGAACTGTCTGTGGCTGATGCAGCGTTATCAGTGGAGGCGGCAGTTTTACAACTCATCAGGTTTGTTTATGCACTTTTATTCACTTTTTTTTTTTTTACACAAAGCTGCTTTTTGACACTTAACCAGTAATGATGCAATAGAAACTTTGTTTTGAGGTTCGAAATCTTTATTTTAGTTTCTATTTCTGACCAATTTCATTAAAACCAGCTTGCAATTAACCTGTCTTAAAATTTAAGATTCATAATGTAGTATGTTTATTGTCCCTTTGAAAAATATGGAATATTCTGAAACAATAGCTACATTTGCTTAAGAAAACTTGTCTAATTTTAGCTGTTTTTTTTATTTACCTTAGTCATATAATCAGTTTATTAAAATAATAAACCTATCTATACCAAGTGGTCTCTATGTGAAAGAACCCACACCATTATTTTTTGAAGAGTTGAGATTAATTTAACAAACCAAACCCTAAAACTAAAAAAAAAAAATAAACTAAATAATTCCACAGGTGTTGTCATTTAAAGTAGATTAATTGACAAAATTAACTGAACTCTATCTGCTCATTAAGATCAATCCATTTGAAGAGAATCTCAGTTAGAGCCAAATGGAAAAAAAACAAACAAAAAAAACAATTGCAACTGTGGTGAACCTTTTCAAGACTTACCAAAATTGCTCTAAGAGCGCATCAACAATGTATTCAGGAGGTCACAAACGAATAAAGAACAACATCTAAACTAGGGCTGAAATAATTACTCGGATTTATCTATTATTGAAATAGGATTAAACTATTTTAGTAATCAATTAATTGTTGACTGGGGTATAGAGACTGTAAACCATGCCTTTAGTTTACAGAGCGACCCACTTAGATCAGTAATTATAGCAAAATATAGAAACATTTGCATTTAAAGTTACAGAGGATGATTTACAGCGAGAGGACTTTTATTTCCGGGTGGATCATCTAAATAAGTGTTACATCTAATTGTCAATCATCCGGGTGATATTTATACGCAGCTTAAAATCAAAATAGATGAAAAAGAACCTCATGTGAACAGTTGAGAAAATACTTTAAATTATCTAAATAAAATATATCCCTAAAGCTTTTTTTTTTTTTTTAGTTTTTTTCCCCCTCTATAACTAAGAATCTTTATAACCTAGTTTTTGCTTCTTCATTTTATGTCAGATTGTAAGCACTCTGCTGGTTTGTCTGATTTGTGACAGGCTGGTGTTGGATCAGCAGCGCCCCCTGCCTGACAGGCGGTCCTACATGCTGACAGTCCGCCATGCTCTGACCAGGAAGCTGACGCGCTCAAAGACCATGCAGTGGTGACAGTGGCAAACAGTTCAGCTGGAACAGAATTTTTGAGTCATTTCATAATAAATTAGTATAAAGATTCACTAAGAAAAGCATGATAGATTTTTGCTGTAAGGGTAAAAACAAGTAAAAGTTGTTTTTTTTTTTCTTTGAGTCTTTTTAACCCTTTATAGGGCAAGATCACTTGCATACACCTTACAAATGGAGTCCCCCCTGTCCCTCGATCTAGAAACACAAAATCTATATATAGCCGTTCAGCAAAGATACAGCTACATGTCTGTAGGCCTACATCTTATTTTGGCATTTGACCAAATAGATGAGCCCTTGAATGATATATTACCTACTGTAAATTAAGTTGAAGAAAAAAAGGTAAAAAGTTAATTAAAAAGATAAAAAGTCAAGAAAAAGGGTAAAAAGTTAATAGAAAAAGTTAAAAAAGGCAAAAGTCAAGAAAAAAAGGTAAAAAAAAAGCTAACTAAAAAGTAAAAAATAAAAAAGGTAAAAATGTTAATTAAAGAGTCAAAGAAAAAGGTACAAAGCTAATTGAAATGTTTAAAGTCAAGGAAAAAAGGTAACATGCTAATAAAGAAGTAAAAAAAAAAAAAGGTAAAAAGCTAACTGAAAAGTTAATAAGTTAAAAAGTTAATAAGCCTAGTTAAGAATTATATTTAGGTTTAGAAACAAAAAATCTAAGTGCCAGTATCAGCATTAATGCCTCGTAGGTTATGTTGTAGCAAAAAAACTATGTGTTTCTTTCACTCTCAGAGTGTTTTCATGAATTTCTTATAGAAGCACTTATTTTTGTTATTTGTCTGAATATATTATCAGGCAAGTTGGCATTTCTTGTTGTTACATTGACATTAATTTTTCCCATCAAAATGTTCCAAAATGCCAATGTATTGGCTTGAAATAGGGATTTGCAAAGGATTTCACTGAGTGCCATATAAAGGATTAAATTAATTATTTTATTAACACTGAAGCAGAGGTGTCAAGTAACAAAGTACAAATACTTTGTTACCTTACTTAAGTAGAAATTTTGGGTATCTGTACTTTACTGGAGTAAATACTTTTTAGACAACTTTTTACTTTTACTCTTGAAATTTGTACATATATATATTTGCAATTATCTCTACTTTCTACTATTTATATTTTAACTATAGACTTTTATAGATGTTTTGTTTCATTTAACCTCATGTGTTGAAAAGTTGATACTCTAACTTCTACATAAGTAAAATATTAGTTATAAAACTAAAAAAATTAAGTATAAGGAAATTATTCTCCAGAATTGTATAAAAATATTCCTTTAATACGGTAGGGTTCATTACTTATACTTTTATACTTTAAGTAGTTTTAAAAATAGTACTTTTAGTAGTTAAAAGCTGTTGATAAGTTGATACTCTAACTTCTAAAAAACAGTGTTTTTAAACAGTGAGATTTATTCTTCTACTTGAGTAATAAACATTAATACTTTTGTCATCTCTGCATTGTAGTATTTGCTTGTACAAACTTACTTATTGTTATATGATTTTTCTTCCAATAGAGGGCAGCAGAATCAAGTCAATTGCTCAGATGAATCCTTTAAGTCAGGGGTGCTCAACTCCAGTTCTCAAGAGCTACTATCCTGCAACTTTTTGATGCACCATCATTTTTAACACACCTGAATCAAACGAGTGGCTCATTACCATGCCTCTGCTGGGCTAAATGAGGGGAATGAGCCTTTTAATTCAGTTGTCTTAGAGAAGAGATGCATCTAAAAGTTACAGGATGGTAGCTCTTGAAGACTGGACTCGAGAACCCCTGCTTTAAGTCATAAGGTGTGTGGAGTAAACTAAGCAACCTGACCTGAACTCTTTAAATACCTCTGCCTGGTAAAATAGATTTCTTAGAAATCCTCACATTTTTTAATAGGTTTTTTTGAATAAGATTATGATGACAAATCACTTGCTTTTATACTGTTAGTTTCATTATCTTAGTATCTTTAGATAATATTGAAGCACTAGAAGCTTAGAATCTATGCAGTGAACCTGTTGCTAGAGTTCAGCAGAAGAACTGTGAGGAAAATAGCTGCTTTAACAAAGAAGATGCAACAGTATGTAAAGAATGAAGCTGGTTTTCATTACCATCCTGGCAATCCTTGTCAGCTTCTCTGTTTCACTGCAAGCTTCTTGAACTTCTGAACTTTATGATCACAGAGGGACACAGAAAGGACGAGAAAGGAAAAGGGAAGACAGTGAAAGGCAGACAGAAAGAATGAAAAAAGAGGTTTCTTTGTCAAAGTTTGATCTTTTTTTATTGAAACCACAATGAGTGAACAGCCTCTAACTATTTGTTATAGAAAATTGGAGGTGTGCTCACCCGCTGCTCTACAAATTTGTCCTCCCCCATGGCCATTTATTATACGTCAGTTACTCCACCCTGTTACCACCAACCAGCAAACCACATGGCCTCTTGGTTGCATATGTAAACACACATGGTAAAAATGTGCAGATTTGAGCTTTCGGCTAAATTTTCTTTATATCAAACCATATTTCTTTAGCTTTTTTTTTTTTTTTTTTTTTTTACAGCTGTAAGTAAAACATTAAGATAGTATCAAAAAGTGTTTAACTAAGTAAATTCAAACAGTAAATCTCATACAGATTGAACACAGGTGGATTTCAAGCATTTTTTTTCTCATTTAAAAAAAAAGTCCTATAGTGCATGAAAACACAAATTCTGTTTCCAGAAAGTTTTATTACAAAACACCAATAAAAAACAGAAAGATTTGGCCAAAGAAAAAGATATCCATGGGGAGCATTAAGAATATGAGCTTGGGACTTATTTAGCATGAATACTGCATCAAAGAGGCATGACTTTAGGTAATGAAATTATAGTGCACTCTATTACTGTTGTGCAACTTTTTCCACATTAGTTAGATTGGATACAGTCCTTTAAATAGTCTAATCATCTCATTCCTGCAATGCTGTTTTATTGAACTGTAAAAAGCTTGTCACAAGAAGCGGAATATTATTATTTTGAGGCTTCAGACTTGGATGCACTGTTCCAGCCATAAGGAGTCACACTGTGTATGTAGCTGTCCATATAAAACTTCTCTGTAGATAATACCATCCCCTCCAGAACAGTGAACTGTTTCACCAATAATCGTCCCAAGATTACCAGTGATCTACAGGAACTGTTAAACAAGAAAAAAAGAGCCTTCAGGAAGGAGTGTGCAAGACCAAACTAAACCCTCTTTTGATCAAAATCTTCCATCTCACACCTTAAATGCAATGTGCTCCCCTGTTTCTATGTATTTGGGTACAACCAAACTGGGAGATGGTGCTGCTCCCTCCCTCTTCCACCTGTCCGTCTGTCAAAGTCAATTGAGGAGGCAACCGGCAAGACTGAATCGCAATTAGATATAAATACAGTAGGCCGGGAAATATTTTTGACCAATATTCTCCTTTTTTTATTTTTTATTTGTATGTTCACGGCCAAGAAAGCGCTATGACTCTGAGTCATCAGGTACACTAAAGATGGACAAGAGGCTGAGCACAGGGAGCTGGTGAGAACCCATTTGCTGCATAATGTGAAAACAATCATCTGATCCTGCACGTGAACAAGAAACAGGAATAAGCTGGAGAATAAATGGAGGAGCATAAATACTTTGGTCTTCACCTGGACAACGGACTTGGCTGGAGACGAAACCTTGGAGTTGTCTAAAAGTATGGACAGAGCAGACTGTACTTCTTAAGGAAGCTTAAATCTTTCAGTGACTCCAACGACATGCTGCAGACCTTCTATAACTGTTGTGGAGACTGAGCTATTCTGCCATCATCTGCTGGGGTAACAGCATCAGAGCAAATGACTTAAAAAAGCTCAACAAGCTGATAAAGAAGGTTGGCTCTGGTCTAGAAATTCTTCTATATCATCTGATGATGGTTTTACAACAAAGAATTCATCATAAAATGGTAGATGACATGTACTTATGCCTTTTCAAGTCAGAGGAGTCCAAAGTGCTGTACACTCCATGCAGTCATTCATGCAGATATTCATGGTGGTACGCTACATTTGTAGCCAGAGCTGCGCTGGGGCACACTGACAGAAGTGAGGCAGCCGGGCGTGCAGGTGGCACAATGGTTAGTTCTAAGACCCATGTACGGAGGCCTTAGTCCTCGATGCCGCTCACCCAGGTTCAAATCCAACCTGTGGTCCTTTGCCGCGTGTCTCTCCCCCTCTCGCCTACTGTCCAAAAAATGAGCCACTGGTGCTGTGAATCCCCCCTCCAAAAAAAAAAATAGATGTGAGGCATTTGTATACAGGTGCCAACTAACCATCTGACTACCATAAGTTGAAATATCTTGTCCAAGGACGCTCTTGTTGTGTTTGAATTACAAATATGCGCAAGACTATGCCACTATTCCGCTAATGTCGAAGAATGCTAATTTTCGCAATTGCAGTATTTTAATTAAATTATAAAAATCAAAAATTGCACGGGAATTCATTGGATTTCATTAATAACCCTGAATACATGATAGCGGCAGATGTAAACACATGAGATATGTACATATTTTAACCAAGGCTGTAATGGGCGCCATCATCCTCCAACTATTTCCAATCTTCTTCGTCTTTCCAGTACAGTAGCAGATCGCGTAGCTCCTGATGCGGAAAATTAAACAATTGTGAAATTTGAAAAATGCAATACGACTAAAAAAAAAACACCTCGTCAAAGCGTAAAATATGCAGTTTTTCCACTTAGCTAATTCGTTTTCATAATTACAATTTGCGCAATTTGGAACACGGCTAGTGATTGAGATAGAGGAAGCTGGGGTTCAATGTGCTGACCCCCCAATACAGTAGCTCCTCTCTGCTGACAGCTATCAACAACAACTTTTGGGGGGAAAAAATCCTTTAACACTCCAACATTAAATTAAATCTTGAGATCAATTAAATATCATTGCATTGAGTTGCTTTTTTCAGTTTTCCCCTTCTCCTGTATAACTTGAGAATTAGGAACAAATCTAGTTTTGTCCATCATTTAACATATTTAAAGGCATTACAGAGGCAGGGTGGGGTTGGTTGTTCCCATTCTAATTAGCTCTTTGGCAAAAAAAAAAAAAGAATGTCAAAGTATAAATTTATAATCAGCAGCATGATTTGGTGCGACTGTGAATCTACTTAAGCTTGTTAACAGGGTCAGTTGTATTAATAGTAATTGTCTGGAAGGGACAGTGTGAGGGAGAACAGCGGCTGTCAATGACCGAAGCTCAGGCACATAATCTGCACATCCTCCAGCTCTCACAGTAGTTTTCTGGCCCGATCGGATAAGGTGCAACAAACCCAAACAGATTAGTGAAACAGAGAGGGATGAGAGGGGTGATGACATCAGGGC